TGGTGGCAGGGTCCTGACCGAAGCAGGACAGCGGGGTCCAGATACCTGTGCATGGGGCTGGCAGGATGTGTGCAGCCACCTGCACTCGCACCACGAGCTGGTGCTGTGGGAGAGGCAGGATGGTTTACCAGCAGAACCAGTGTTCAGTGCTGCACATGAAACCTGCATTATCACTCTTCCTTATTCTTTTCTTCTCCTACTATTGGGCTTTACAGTGTAGATTGGGAGAGAAGATTCTGTTTAATGGATTTCAGTTTGCAGGTCAGAGTGATCTCAATAATGAAGTGCTTCGACATATTGCCATTCTGTGCCAAAGCAGGGAGTCCTAAATAAGGTATTCAACTTGTCACCTCCTCCTCTCATTAAACATACTGAGAGCTGCAGGTCTGCTTGGTCACAGGGGTTCTGTTCTACCCTACCAGGGACTGGTAATTAGCAGGCAGTTAAAAACAACTGTGTGGAGCTTGGAAGCGGTTTCAAGTGCTCTGCACTTCTACTGTGGGAGACACAACCGTGGACGAACTCATAGCATGCATGTTTTTAACAACTGCCTTTAAACCAACATTCAAAACTAATGTAAAACAGACCAGGCAGAACAGGTCAGGGTGACCCAAAGAGCTTAAGAAAAAAAAAAGGGGGTGGGGGTGGGGGTGTTTATCAGTATTAGCATTAATTTTGTCAGCGTGTCCTGCAGAAGGAGGTTACACTGATGTGTGTCTTCTCTTAAGGAAACTTTACCAGAATAAAGCACATAAAAATAGGAGCTTGTTTCGGATGGCACTACAAGGCCTTCCTGCGGGCTGTGGACTGGGGAGCTGGGTTTGGCTCCTCATCCCTGTCCACCACTCAGGAGCCCAGCAATCCCACAGCAGAGTGGTGTTGGTGTCCTGGTCCTAACCCTCCCAGGCAAGAGGGGAGGGGTCCCTGCTTCCCTGGGAAGCCATGGCTGCGAATGGCCACAAGAAGCCACGACAATGACTGTCATCAGGACCTCCTGCAAGCAGGGATGCAGAGAGGCACGGCTACGTGCTCTGCCCTCGCTCCCTCCTATCTGGGATGGGTGACTGGGATTGGGGCAGAACTGGGAAACAGAGGCAGAGATAGCTACCTGGTAACTCCAGCAAGCAAACTGCCTGCCTGGCTGCATCAGGTCGACTGGGCACCTCCCTGATGCTCTGAAATCCTGGTGTGCCTCTGCATGTGCCAACGCACATCGCTCCGGCTGATGGCTTGCCCACAACAGAGAGGGTGCATAAGCAAAGAGCAGTCAGAGCCAGCACACGGGGTGACATCATGAGGTTTTAGGACTGTATAACCTTTGGGAACATTTGTTTTCTCTGCCTGCTACCAGGAGGAAAGGAGCCAGATGTCCCTGCATTGCTCCCCAGGAGCTGTGTCCCCACTGCTCAGGTTTACTACCCACTGCTGCAAAAGCAGAGGGAAGAGGCCGGCTCCTGCCCTGCCAACTGGGTGTGTTTGTTAATACTTGAGCTATAGAATTGTTCAGGGAGAAATAAATTAAAACCACTCGATAAGCAATAAACCAGAGCCATTTCGGTGGCAAGCTCTTCAAGACATCCCAGCAGCTCAGGGAGGCACTGCCCATCCCAGCAATGGTGGAAGTACTTAAACTAAAACTTGGCACATCTGACAAGCCAGGGCTCCCCCCCACCCCCTTCACTCTGCGCTGTGTCTGATGCTGCCAGCGGCTTTCTTTTCTGCATCACATTTGACTCCCCTTCCACTTCACCGTCAGGGGCCTCTCCATCGTGGATCAGGTTCATCAGCCCCATTTTTAAGGGTATTTTCTTCCTCACTGTCACATCAAATGAACTCAAAGATGAGCTACCCAGTGCTCTACACTGCAGCTTCTAGATTTTGAGAAAAAACCTCAGATTCTGGATACAGGCAGTGTCAGGTTTTGGTAGAGCTATCGGTCTTGGAACAAACTGTAATGAGGAACTTTACCAGTGATACAGAAGCAACTTCTATTCAGCGAAGAAAAATACCAGGGCAGTAATTTTATCAAGAATTTTATGACGTAATTTTATGAAGAAAAATGCCCTTTTCTGCCTGGGAAAAATCATTCTAACTAAGGAATGTTCTGTTCAAAGAGGCTTTGGTGTGAGTGAGATCCAGCTTACCCGGCTGTTTACATTCTTTCAGATTAGTAGAGTTTCAAATTAAGGAAAAGAATATTTCCTGAAACAAACGAATGTTTAATGAAATTCACATTCTGGTATTAGAACCTGCAAATGTTTCCCGAAGCTCATTATGCTCCTTATGCCTCAGCTTTTCAGCCATCTACTGCCTATTTAATATGCCAAGTACACTTGTTATCTGCAGGGTATCTCCCATCACAAGGGCCCAGGAGACATTATTCAGGCATTACCTCCAAGAGTCATCCCAGCTTCGTAGCACTTCCGCAGGCGGCAGGACGGGCAGTTTTTCCTCCTGAACTTGTCGATGGTGCAGTCGTTCCGGCTGGCACAGAGGTATTTCTGTTTACCTACAGACACCAGAGAAAGCAGCTGATGGGTGGTGGGTACCCACCAGAGCAAGTTTACAGGTAGAAATGAACTCATGCTTTCTCAGTATCACCAGCATCACTGGAGGAGAGTGGGGAAGGGGAAAGAGGAGGGAAGAGGGAAAAGGGAAAGGGAGAACCGTACAGTGCTGGTTTCCCAGTTTACCCCTCCCCAGCAGAATATTTACGTCAGAAGTTGGCATCTTTTTGGGAAAACAGCACAGCACAGTTCTTCCTCTGCTGCTACAGGAGTGGTTCATGGCCACACACGCACACTTGAGAGCTGGCTACCCGAAATACAGTTCCACCACACTTCAGTGCCCGTCCCTGCCTGCCCTCCCGCTGCCAGGGGCACAGCCCCTCTGCCCACACACCCCACAGGCTTCTAGACCACGATCTCCAAGGAGGAAAATCACCCTGTTCTGTGCAGCACAGAAGAGGTAGTCAATAAGCAGCAATTAAAAAGTAAAGAAATACGGAAAGTTGGGCTCTTGTTTTTTAAATGCCATACATCTATTGCTTGGCTTTTTGCTGTGAAGATCTGTTTTTCTCCTAGAACATCTTCAAAGCACAGTCTGACCCTCCAGCTTGCACTTAACTACAGTTTGCTGAATGCAGTCCCCAGACAGTGACCTTCCCTCTATAACCACAACTCTCTCGACTGTGCTTTTGAGGGCTGAATTATTTGTAGCACCACCCATTAGTGCTAATTAGGTTTACTGTCTGCAGTTCACAGACACTGGGCTTGGGAAACTGACTTATGGGGAGCCGCTGCTCCACAGGCTCTGCCATTGTGTGTCTGACGCCAGGATGGCACCAGTCACCACGTTCCCTGGCCAGGAGGAAACGGACCAGCCATTCCCTGTAAGGGAGACCCTGCACTGCAGCAGGTTGAGGGGGCTTGCAGAAAATGCAGAAGTTACCTATTGTCAGACTAACTGATATCTCAGACTCACCTTTACACTTGTTTACAGAGTGGCCCTTAGAGTTCCATATTTCAGCTCGGTTTTTTTCTTTGCTGCCTCATTTGCTAGATATGCCAAGAATGAATTTTCCTTCTTGACTCATTTATCATTTATTTTCTTGTCAAGTCTAAACCGGATCAGGATTTATTTAATATTTGATTCATTCGGTACTTGATTCGGTCTTCATGCTGTTCCAAACGAAACCAGCCTCAGTAATTAACAGAGCTGTGCACCTCACAGACTCTGCGGATGCTTGGGAAGTGATGGGAAATCAGTCTATATCCAGCTTAACCTTTATTAATCAGCCAGCAGGAGTTTGCTTTCTGTATTCTCATAGGAGTAACTTTTTGGAGTTATCAGAGATCGATTAACAGGACGAGGTTGAATCTAACCACTTGATGTGACAGTTTTGACAAGAGATGCACCTATTCTGGTGCACAAATTTAACAACTCCCCACCTCCCACACACAATTCCACACCTTCTGAAGATACTGGAATCGGAAAAAGTGTCCATTTTTTAGCAACCCAGTACCACAGGCCTCACTGGCACTATCTGTTGCTTCCCTATGGACCTCCTGAGCAGTGAGGTTTCCTGCACTGGTGCAAAAAGGTCCCACCACTCCTCCACCAGCACCACCAGACCCTCCTCCTGCAGCTCCTCACCACAGGGTCGTAGGGACGCTGGTATAAAGCTCAGTGTGCAACGAAGCCCTTTGCACACTGTGTGCACTCAGGGCTACACCAAAGGGCTGCAAAAATATCATACACTGGAACTTCTTAGAATGGTCCCCATTAAAAGCTGATCGTTACATCACCTCCAGCGCTTTAGCTGTTAAGATTGCAGATGTAAGAGTGCATTACCTGCAGCACGTGATACTTTGCTAAATCCTTTTAGCACCATTCTCATCAGCACCTCTTCTCACCCCCCTTCCCTCGCTCATTACCAGTTTTAAGGACACTTAGAGAAGCCTCAGAAGCAGTGATGACACCAAACCCCAGAGAACACAAGCACCATTCTTCCTTTCAACAGTTCATTGAGGAGGATAAGTAATAAACAACTTCAGCTGAAACTGGGTTACTTGGAGTTATTTTTTATGCTGAAACAAGTGCAGAGGCCGTACTCTCTCCACTCAACCTCTTTATGTGCATTTATCAAACAAGAATGGACGTCTTACTTTCACAGGCATGGGTATGGGGAGCTGTAAGGGGATTTTGCTCTCCTTCTCCAGCTGCATTGCCGGATTCCTGCCTTATGACCAGCTTCTGACACTGGGATGCTCTGGAGCCTATCGAAACCACCATGAGTATAGAATGGCTGGGGTTGAGAGTATCAGGAAGGTTCAGCCCACGGGACCAACACGTTATCTGGCCGAGGCCATCAGGCTGCTGCGAGCAGTGCTGCCTGGGGAGCATCTGCACAACCATCCTGCTCTACCGTCACCCGTCGGCTCCTGCTCCTTCCCTATCTCACCTCCCTAGTCTAAACTGCAGCATTTTTGCAACAATAATAGCTCAAAATCTTTTAAAAGGTCAAGCCTCTCCTGTGAATGGCTTTAATAAGGGAAGGCAGCACAGTCACTGCCTGAGCCCCACAAGGACACTCCAGGGTCAGGCACAGCTCTATCTGAATCCTCCAGCCCCATGCCCTTCTTTCCCCCAAGCTCTGGGCAGCCTACTGATGTGCAAGCTTGTCCCCCACCCTGCTTTGTCCCCCCCAGGCACCCATGGATACCCATGGGAGAGGAGCAGGGGGACAGCAGATTTGGGAACCAGGTTCCAGCCTTGCTCAATGAGGCAGCCAAGCCGTTCCCCATCAGCTCTTCAGCAGCACCCGCCACCTCTGGCACTGCTGGGAAGGGACACGAGAATGAATGATCCCCCATAAGACCAGGCAGGGTGCCCGGTGCCTGCGGCTCTCCTGGATCACTGCGCATGAAACAAGCACATTAGAAGAGTGTCTATAACAACTTTACTTCCCTGCCGCTGGGCTCAGATGAGTGCAAGCTTTTAAGTCACAATCAACAACTCTCCCCACAGTCATAGCACAGTGATTTTGCTGAAATGGCAAGGCCTGCTTCCTGGTTCACAAAATAAACTCTTCAGGGCAGGAACTGGTTTTCTGTTAACTATATATGTAGAGTCTAGCACAGTTTATTTTAAGCTGTTAGCCATTAAGAAAAAGGGACACGGTCATGCAGTGGCTATTCATGAATCTCCTCCTGCCCAGCAGGAGAATAAGCTGCTTGCTCATCTTGTCCTAATTCCGAGGGATGTAGAGAAACCTGACCTCTCATCACTGCTATCCCCAGTTGTGGATATGGCTTTTTTAAAACGTCACTGCTACAGTGAAGCCAACCAATCCTGAACCGCCGGTGCTCGTCCCATCGACCACAGGGAGCCGCAAGAGCCAGACACTCATCAGCCCTGGCACGGGCTGACATCAGTCATCTGATAGCAGGCACGGGCTGACAGCATCTCTGGTGGCTACACCAGCAAGAGCAGCCCCTCTGCTCCATCCACCCCAGCATACACTGTCCCTTCTCTCCAGGCTGGGAGCACGCACCACTTGCACAGCTGTGCACGTCCCTGTCAACCCGAGCACAGCAGGAGCAAGCGGAGGAGACAGTGCCATTGGCTGCAACAGCGCAGAGAACAAGGAAGGGTTGCTGTGACACAGAGGGGTTCCATGTGTCTTAAGTAACTTCCTAAACACAGAGACTTGGTTTTAATTTCAGGATAATTTACTCTCTTCATTTAAGAACAAGCTGAGACATTTGCAATCAGCTGTTCTGCATTTAAAGATAAATGTACTGGGTTTTCTTTCATTAACACTGGAATGACTTTTTTAAAATCTCCTTTTCTTTCCTGCAAACAACACTTTCTTATAGCACTCCAAAGCAGAGGCTCTTGCTTTGCAAACCTGTAGTACAGGTCTAAACTTCAAACATACTCTCCTATTTCACCCAGCAGTCCTGCTCTTGACAAAGCCAGTCACTCAGACTGTATGGGTCTGGCTGGCCAGGTGTCAGCCTCAATATAACTATCCAGTTGATGACACTGCAGACATGTGCCCAGAGAAGACCTCTCTCCTTCCCTGCCAATCCAGATGCTGTTTGACATGTATGTGGGTGAGAAGTGCAGTTACAAAGGCACTCATCATCCCTCTCCTATGCCAGACCAGCACAGAACCCCAGGAGATCAGTCTGTGCAACAGTGGATCTTGCAGGCTGCTGCAGTCTCCCTTCCACCGCACACCACAGGTACACTGGTGTATCAGTGCCTCCTCACTGGGACAACCCTGCCAGCTTGGGCTTCCCCAGGCAGAGGGATGCTTCTGCCATCATCAAGTCCTCCTGCTCACCTGCTGCAGTTGCAATGAACGTCAGGAGCAGAGGGGAAGAGCAGTTCTCCAGTCTCAAGTAAGAATAGAGATTTATGAGAAAAGATCAGTGACTCAGCCCAGAAGTTACTTAACTAAAAGCCTGTTGCCACAGGAGGAGTTGTGCCTCGAGTAGCTTTCTCTTCCAGAAAGCAAAGTAATCTATTCAAACATCTGGAGTAAGGCTTAAAATTGCAAATGTAAAAACCCATTAAATGCCTTTTGGAAGAGACACATATCCTCGTATTTCAGGTCGTAAACCAGATCTAAAAGTTGAAGGATAAGGCCAAGCTTCCTGAGAAAGCGAATCCCCAAGGTCTCACGTAACCATGGGGTCTCTAATACTCTCCTGTAAAAACTCTGGTCCCCATCGCTGTCACCAGCTGGGCTGTGGCCAGAGCTGAGCCTGGGGGTTTAGGTCAGGGACTGTTCTGAAGTTTCTTTTTGATGCAACCATTAGAAATAATCATAGAGGGCACACCTATGAAGCTCTCAGGAGCAAACATTAAGCTGTTATTAACAAACTATCTTTGCAAAGTTGTTTTCCTAATAGTCACCTGCATTTACCAAAAGTCTAAAGAAAGCATCCAGCCCCAGACACAGCACAGGCTTCAGCACCAGCAGACAGGCAGCAGACCGTGCCAGGACAGCCTGAGTTGTCAAGGGTCTGCTTATTCCACCTTCTCCTCTTCCCACCCATTTTTACCCACAGGGTAGTGAGAAGCCTGCCACTGAAGCAGGAGCATCACAGTGCCACAGCACCACCAAGTCTTTTGCAGATCTGCCACGAGAAAGAGAAAAAGCAATTCAAAACATGATGACAGTCTTTGAAAACACTTCCCTTTAACTTGTCATCTTGAAAATTGACAAGAAACTTGAGTTAGCCCAGAGACATTTCCCTGGTGCAAGGCTAATCTTCAGCAGGTCAGGGTGTAGAACAATAATCCATATGGAGAGTGACTGAAAGGGAACTGGAACAGACTGCTCAGCGCTCTGGCTGTTAGCCCTCTAGGAAATTTGCCAAATACTGTGTTGGTTTGGTTTGTTGGGGTTTTTTTTATTTAGTTTTCTGCTATATAAAGTCAATCCCATCAGGAATACAGCCTGAAGCATCCCAGCCCTACGCTGCCAAGAACACTACGCAGAGGCAGCTCTCAAACGGCCAAGGTGGTCATCAGACCTCATGCAACCCTGGAGGGATGAGGAAGGTCTATGATTTTTGAGGGATGGATGCAGGGGACTGAGAAATTACTCCCTTCCTGCATGGGATGGGACAACAACAACGCCTGGACTGACAACCAATTTGGAAGTGGATAGTTCTTGAAGCATTATCTAGTTTCAGGGACAAGTGTGGTATCATGAGGACCAAACCCTAATGTCTGTAACTCATCTGAGCCGTCCTAACCATGTGAAGTGATGCCCTGCATAACTGAGTTGAGAAAAAACGAAGTCTATGCTGAGGTGGATGCACTTCTTGGTTACCAAACTGTTGTAAGAGAAAGAGGAATTAGAAGGAGGATTCATCCTCCCTTGTAGCAGCCCCAACCCTCTGGATCCCTCAGCACTTGGACACCAGAGCAGAAAGGGAGACTCAAACGCCAGGTTTGAGTACAAAACTGAGGCTGGCCATCTCATGAGGGAGGAAGTTCACGTCAAAGCTGAAGAATCTGCAGGGTGCATTTTAGAGCTGCCCTACACATAACCTGGACATCTTGAGAGAAGTCAAGAGAGCTGACAGAAAGGGATCAGGAAAATGCACGTCTTTTCTGTTTACTCTTCCAGCATCTTTCTGGAAGAACTGGTTAGATTTGAACTTGCAAAAATCCTCAAATCTGTCAAACATTTTATCAAAGCAGGAGTGATCTGCTCTACTGGAAACCATACAAATCCCTCAGCAGGTTTCAAAAAGGAAGAGGAATCAATGTCATAACTTTTATTTTTTTTTAAATCCTGTCCATTTCTAACCCCTTAGAAGGCAGTGTATGTCTACAAAACCTTCTAAAATATCCCTGAATTACTGCCAAATAAATTCAATATTATATTAGGTGAGGAATATGATAAAAGCTACGTGTTTAGCTATTCTCCATTCCCCTCAAGGGGATTTGTTTGTGCTGCTCTTTCATTCCCACTCCATTGCTTCTACCCATCAGAGGCTGCTGTCTTACACCAGTAACAGGAAGGTAATAGAGACAGGAGAAAAGGTTTCTTTTCTCACTGGGGAAGCTTTCTGATTTACTGCTTTAAGCAGTCTCCAAAGGCAACCTGTAAGGGCTTCAGAGATGCATTTTATGGACTTTAAAACATGAGAACACATTGAAATGTGGTGCAGTTGATATGCTGGAGGGAAGGGATGCCATCCAGAGGGACCTTGACACGCTTGAGAGATGGGCCAATGCCAACCTCATGACGTTCAACAAAGCAAAGTGCAAGGTCCTACACCTGGGTCAGGGCAGCCCCAGGCACAGCTACAGGTTGGGCAGAGAAGTGGTTCAGAGCAGCCCTGTGGACAAGGATTTGGAGGTGTTGGTCGATGAGAAACTGAACATGAGCTGGCTTCAGTGTGCACTCACAGCCCAGAAACCAACTGTATCCTGGGCTGCATTAAAAGAAGCGTGACCACCAGGTCGAAGGAGGTGATCCTGCCCCTCTACTCTGCTCTCGTGAGACCCCATTTGGAGTACTGTGTGCAGTTCTGGTGTTCTCAAAATAAGAAGGACATGGAGCGGTTGGAGCATGTCCAGAAGAGGACTATAAGGACGATAAGGGGGCTCGAGCACCTCCTGTATGAAGACAGGCTGAGAAAGCTGGAGCTGTTCAGCCTGGAGAAGAGAAGCTGCGTGGAGACCTCAGAGCAGCCTTCCAGTATCTGAAGGGGACCTACAAGGATGCCAGAGAGGGACTCTTCATCAGGGACTGTAGTGATAGGACAAGGGGCAATAGGTTTAAACTTAAACAGGAGAAGTTCAGGTTAGATATAGGGAAGAAGTTCTTTACTGTGAGGGTGCTGAGGCACTGGAACAGGTTACCCAGAGAAGTGGTAAATGCCCCATTCCTGGAACTGTTCAAGGCCACGTTGGACAGAGCCTTGGGCAACATGGTCTAGTGTGAGGCATCTCTGCCCATGGCAGGGGGTTGGAATTGGATAATCTTAAGGTCCTTTCCAACCCAAACCATTCTATGATTCTATGAAATATCAGCCCTCGCCCCATACCAGCCAGAGCCTACCCCGGGGCAGGAGGAGGAAGAGCAGCATGCTGGGACTTGCCAGCTGACATGGGGCGTTTCATCAGCAGTTTTTCTGATGGAGAGCCAAGACTCCACTTACTATAAATCAACAGTAACTGGCTGACTTAAACAAGCATCTGTTATTTACTCTGGCTGCGCAAGCCAATCCATTTGGCCTTACACAGAATTGGTGTATAGCAGAGATGTATCTGTAAATGATTTACTTGGGGAAAACCATGCCAAACTTATTATCTATTATTTGACAGTCCTATTATGGTAACAGGATGCTGTTGTACTCCAAGGCACAGCCCTGATTCTTCCCTGAACCAGCACTGACAAGTTCACTTCTGGCACACATGATGAAGGAGGGAAAACGCGACTCTGAGAACGCACAGGATAACGCTAGAATTAATCGCGAAGCAGTGCTCTGACAACACCGGGTGAGCACCCATCAGTGTGGGACCTCCACCTGACACAGGGGTGACATTAAGCACAGGAGGGGAATATCACGGTGAGACATTTGAAGTTGCAGGTCTGAGATCACAGGAGGGCTGATGGGAACTTAGAGCACCCTTGAGAGTCAAGAGGAGAAGAAGGAACTGACTGCTCCGGGGTCTCACTGGGTCACTAAGATAACCAGGCATTGAAAAGGATTGTGTTTTGGCAAACTGGTTTGCATACTTTTTGAAGGCAGCCTGTAATGGGAATGACAAACATATGACAAAGGAATTTATCCTTGATTTTTCTCCTTTACTAGTTTAATTAAAAGACCTTAGAAAGCCTCTGCACTTTGTCCCCAGCACTCTTGCCTCAGTCCTTTTGACTTGACAGGCTCTCCAAGGCAAGGCTGCCGAGCTTCTTTCAACTGGAGGAGAACATATCGTGATGCTTGCAAATGCCTCCAGCATCTAGATGTTAATAACTTGGCTGCTGATAACAAGAACTCGTATTAGCAGCATTTGAATCTCAGGCTACTGTGGTAAAGACAGACAGCACTTGGAGGTGGAAATGATTTTCCCTCCTCCCTCTGCATGCATTACCTTCAGCTGCCCGTTTGAAGAAGACTTTGCAGCTACCACAAGTGAGGGCTCCATAATGGCACCCAGATGCTTCATCTCCACAGATCAGGCAAGTCTTTTGAGGTGGAAAGTAATAGTCAATGGGCAAGACATGTTCACGGCCAGCCTCCAACCTGCAGTGTAAAACACAAAGAGAACAAAGGAAAGGGTCAGCAAACGGGGTCGGGACAAGACACGAGTGAGCATAGATTGGGAGAACATTCATGGCAAAACCCAGTATTTTGATGATGGGACAAGCCAAGCACCAATCAGAAAGGAGGCAACCAACAACGAAGCCAAACCTCACTTTGACCATGCAGAAGACCATGCTGGGGTGCCCCTCCTGACACTGCCCCGAAGTACAATATGTGACCAAGTACAGGCACAGTGACAGCACAGCCTAGAAAGAGAAGACAACTGGAACAGGCTGTTGCAGTGTTCATGTAATTTTGGCTTCACCAGTTATGTTTGTACATCAAAAAAGGATTCTCCAGGCTCATTAAGCTACATGAACCCACTCCATTAAGGTCAATGCTATCGCTTCACTAGAGATTAATTTATCCGTTTAATTCTTAATTTAAACAGATTTTCCCAAGCTGTCAACCCCCCTTAAGCTATTCTTTTCTTCTTTCTTATTTGTCTTGCTTCTTTTCTACCTATTCCCTCTTTCACATCTAACTGTTGCCAGCCCTCCTCTCCAACCATGTATTCCTCATGCTTCCCTCCATCCGCACACCCAAACCTTTCCCTCTTGGCTGGTACCCGTCCCACCATCTCTCTCGATGAACACTGCCACCCACTTGTTTGATCAGATCTATGGAGAAGCTGCTTTTTTGGAAAGCACAGCAGCAGGAGAGGTGCTAAGAATCACAAGTCAACGCACACCCAGGCAGTTTGGGGAGTAACAGCATTTTAAGTTACTTGCTAAAACTCCCTTTGTCTCAAAACACGGATGAGGCAATTAGCTTCTAACAGTCAGTAGGTCACTGCAACTTTCTGGTCAAAATTAGACCTGCTTTTTGTTTCTGGTATTGTTTGAATGCTTGCAGGTGAGCTCTGAGTAATCATATTAAGAGCGAACGTGACAAAGCTGGGACTTCTTAGAATCTTTATACTCAGAAAAGCCCCATTTGGGCCAACAGTATGAATAAACCCAAAATCCACTGAGACAGAAACAGCCCCGGCAGAGATGGAAGCCAGAACCCACACTGTGAAGTCTTGCAAGGGGTAAAGCACCACCACAGACCCCAGGGAAAGGAACACTGTCCTGATGAGCAGCCCGTCTGCCCATGGCCAGCGCCTGTCCGCATCCTGCAGGCAGCTCTGTCCATCCAGGAACAACACAAGCAAGGGGAGATCTCACACCGAAAGAGCAGCGGCAGGGTCGAGGTTTAATTAAGGAAAGATATGTTTTCTCTGCGCTAATCACCAGCTTTTCTCCTGGGGTTTCCACCTCTGTGGTGAGTTACAATGCATGGCACCGCTGCGCTGCACTTGGCAGGCTGAGACTGCAGCAGGCACCGGTCCCCCACCTCTCCTATCCCTCCCCTACCTCTCCACCTCCTCTTCCCTGTCTTGTTTCACTACTACCCAACCTCAGAGAGATCCTGCAATGCACACTCTCACATGCAGTGGTCCTGAGGATATCAGGAGTTAAAACTACTTATAGTGCAACAGCTTAAAGAACAATCACTCTTAAGGCAAGGACAGTGACACACCTGCATAAGGGCAGCTATCTCATTATCATCTTTTGCTCAGATACATTAATTATGGTAATAAGAGTAGCTTCTTTAGCCCAGACTATCTGTACCCTTTTCTTCCACTTCCCAAGAGGCATAAACTTACCAGAGGAGAGAGAGGTTTTAAATGAGAAAACGTGTTTCCTCAAGAACAGATGAGGAACCACTATTCAACTGGTTTAAATCATACCACAGGCTGAAAAATACTTCCCACAGTGCAGACAAGACTTAAGGGACTGCTGCTGTTGCTACACAAACAACTAGCTGGGATGCTTAATCTCCTCCAAAGACCAATGCTGTTACAGAGTACTGGTGCAGTTTGCTCCTCACACAGGTCAGAGCTCTTTGCTGAAGTATTTCTAAGCCCCTCTCACCATGAGAATAAAGTGCAAAATGGGACAATTATTGGTGAGATCAAGACCCAGGCTCATCACCCTCCTCTGTCAATTGTGTCCTTCAGGAATGTTGCTACCTTCTGTTCTTCACATGAGAGCTATGTAGATCCTACCTACCTACCTAAGTTGCAGGTTAATAACTGGAAGAGCAATTTTATCCTCTGTTCTTAAGGCAAGAAATATTTTGGGTGATTTCTCATCGTTTTAGCAGTATCAATCAGAATCAGTGACTCATCTGTAGATGCTTCTCAACTATCTTTCCTTGACAAATCTCAGTTTTCCAAAGCTTCTCTTGAATTACTGATTAAATGGAGGAGATACAGTTGGCTGTAGCACACCTGCCATAGTTAAGTCCTGATGCAACAAACATCTCCATGTCACATCCTCTATTTCCTCCCGGTGCAATCGCACTGACCTGTCCCCAGCAGTGTCCAGGGCACCCAGCTGCTCCCTGCACCGTGGCTGCACAAGCACCCAGTGCAGCACAGGCTTTGTTCTCAGCTCAAGGTGCTACCATAGAGCAGACGGTACTACGAAATAACCAGCAGCAGATATAAAAGCTTTGAATCATAGAATGGTTTGGGTTGAAAGGGATCTTAAAGCTCATCCAGTTCCACCCCCCTGCCACAGTCAGGGACCCCTTCCATTAGACCAGGTTGCTCCAAGCCCCTGTGTCCAACCTGGCCTTCAACACTGCCAGAGATGGGACAGCCACAGCTTCTCTGGGCAACCTGTGCCAGGGCCTCACCACCCTCATGCTGAAGAACTTCATAATACCTAACCTAAATTTCCCCTCTGTCCGTTTAAAGACATTCCCCCTTGTCCTATCCCTACACACCCTTGTAAAAAGTCCCTCTCCAGATTCTTCTTCACCCCCTTAGGTACTTCTTACCCAGCCCTTTAGGTATTTCTCCAGCAATCTTTTAGATCCCAGCAGAACCAGATCTTTTCTCTAATGACCTGTTACCATTTTTCTCCTCTCTATGCAATCAGAAATCTGGAAAAGGCTATCTTTTTCCATAGGCCTTCCATGCTGTGCTTTCCCTGTTCTTTGCACTATGTATTTCAGATAGGAAATGAGAAGAAGTGACTCTCACAGGAGTAGCTGTTGTGATGACAGAAGCAGGACCCCCAGAAGACCTTGGTGTATTTTTGAGGCTTAATTATTTAAAGCTGCAAAGTAGGTTAGCCATTAAGGTTTGAGTGGCTTTTTAAATAGCTGTTTCTGCATGAGATGAGCTATGCAAGTACAAATGTACCTTCATGCTCGTGTGTGTCTAGTGTACCTATACGCCTCTGCCTACAGTGGGTGCTGGGCTGAGCATCCCAGAGGTGCTCAGGATCTTCCACAAACCCCACGTCCTTGGCCACACTTGCCCCAGCTGCCCATTTCCGTGTGGAAACCAGAAGGAGCTGATGACTCCAGAGGTCAATCCTGGCTGGGAGACAGCCTCCTCCAGGTATAACACTCCCACCATTGGGCTTGGCACCAAACAGCCCCAGCATCCCATCACGTTGGGAGACTAGTGCTTCAGCAGGCAGAGAGCAGCTCGGCTGCAGGCTGAGCAGTGCAGCATCCTCACTGTTTCCAACTCACTCCGGCACCTTTACTACCAGCAGCTGCTGTCCAGACAGTGGAAGGATTTGCCTGAGGATGCCCTTGCTTTTAAGAAGTTGTCAATTAACCTTTTCTTTTTTTATTTTTAGAGGGAAAATTGTAAGGAAAAAAAACATAGAACGCAAGCAACTCGGAGTGAGCTGTGATAATGGTACCCTTTAGCGACCTATTTTCCAGTTTCTAGGAGACCTTTTAAGGGTGTTCCTAAAATACATAGGTAATAACACTGCAATAAGCCAAAAAGATGGCTTACAGGGGTCTCAGAGGCATGTGGTCTGGCTGCTTTCAGGGAAGAGTCCAGACACCCACCTGCATGGGGGTCCCAGGGACCAGCAGCGTTTGCAGCTCCTGTGCCCCATGCAAAGGTCAGGAGTGGTGGTGGCTCAGCACCCGGCACACGATAGGCTGCTCAAAAGCTTTCCTCCCAGCGGAATTTTTCACTCTATCAGTACCTGCTGATTGCACGCACCCCACAAAGCCACCAAGAACACCAAGATCCGCCAAAATGAAGCCTTGAGCACATCGCAGAATGTTCCGGAATACACGAACGTAGTTTGTACAATGAATGGCAAGTGTCACAGTGCCTCAGAAACCCAAAGCAAAGAGATAGTGCAGTGCGGGCAGACACAACTGCTGCACTGGTGACGTCGGGCAGAGATTCCAGCCCTGGCGTGCAGCTTGAAGGCCAAGGTCAGTTCTGCTCACAGTGGAGCATCATGGTTTTCAGAAGAGAGAAAAAACAACCTCGGTATCTCTCTTTGGCTATAGGAAGAATTTTATTGTCCTTTCAGAAGGGTTCTCTGAGGAAACGGAGAGTCTACGGAACTCCTGCCACATGCAAATATTTCTATAGAGTAGGAACTATGATTCCGCAGGTTTTTTGTCAATAATTAATTTCACTATACTGTCCAGATTTCACAACACACCCAGAAAAACAAGGGCAATCATGGACAAAAGAGAAGCCAACCACTTTTCATAACCCACAAAGAAAATTTCCATCTTGGCAACAGAGAGCGCATGCTACCCCAGAAGAGCCACGGCACAACTGCCCTCCCCTGACAACTTCTGACTCATAAGAGACTACGGAAAAGTAGCTGTGCAGCTTTATTGGCATAGTTTCTGCAGTCCACGCATACCTGACTGAATAAGATTAACTTGTTAATCAATTCTCCATGTTAATATAACACGATGCATATTCCTTGTGTTGTTTTCCCATCAGTCTTGCATACCTGAACAAACACAATTACCACCTCCTTCACTCTTCAATTTGACTGCATTTTTCATGTTAAAATTACGCTAACAGTTGCGTCAGACTGAACTGAAATGCTGCAGCACTGTTCTCAACAGCGATCAGGTGGCACAATCTCCTTGTGGCATCAGCTCAC